CTTCCTTCCTTCCTTCCTTCCTTCCTTCCTTCCTTCCTTCCTTCCTTTCCTTAAAAGTTCTATGAAGCAGGCAGGGAAAAGCAAAGATGGGAGTTTTGCCAGCACAGGGTGTGCCCCCCTTTAGCCCAGTGAGAGGCAAGGAGGAGAAGTGAGTTTATAGAATAGCTTTGTGAGAGAGCAAGCTGTGACTCCCTCCAAGGTGTGGGAGGACAACCTACCTCTGCCCCAGAGTTGTAGCTGCAGGTGAGGAGTGAGAGGGACGGGGTGCCTCTGCCACACCCCTTCTCCAAGTCTACCTTGTCCCTAAGGCCTCCGACACTTCCGGAAGACAGACAAGAGCTATGTCGCAGGTCTTGGTCCCTGATTGCACAATACAGCATGCAGCTCAAAGAGTGATCAGAGTAATAGAAAATCTCTCAGTGACATTCTTTTCTACAGCCTGTCATGTTGATGATGATGCATAGGTAACTAGCCAGAGCTGGAGAGATGGCTGAGCTGGTAAGGACAATTGCTGCCGGGCCTGGTGACCTGAGTTTGCTTGGTGGGACCTACACCACCAAGGAAGGTAGAAGGAGAGAACCGACTCCCCTTCTTGTCCTCTGGCCTGCACATGTGCGTTGTTTTAAACACCCTCCGCCCAAAACACAAAAATAACGTGTAAAGAGAATTTTAACAGGGAAAACACAATCCTGGAATCATCTGGGAAGAGAAGAAGAAGATCATGACTCCTCTGCCATAAAAAGCCGGCAGCCATTAAGGGTGTATTTCTGTGTGTCTCTCTATGTGATATATGTGTGCGTGTGTTATACACTCGCAGCATAAGCACCCTTGCTAAAAAGTACATTCAGAGGCCAGAGTACATCTGATGCCATGCTCCACCTATTTCCTTTAGACAGGGTCTCTCACAGAGCCTAGGGCTAGCCTGGCAACCAGCAAACCCTAGCCATTTGCCTGTCTCTGTCTCGTATAACGCTGGTCTTACAGGTATGTATGTGGCCGTGCCTGCCTCAAAAAAATGATGATGTTGGGATTACAGGTGCATGAACAGCCTCACCTACCTTTTGAAAAAAAAAATATATTCACCCTGGAAATTCAAACCCAGCTTGGTGTACTTGCATGACAAGCTCATTTAACCATTCTCTAGCTTCCAAAGTGTATTTTAATCTATAGTCCCAAGATTCGGGAGGCTGAAGTCGGAGGATCTCTTGAGGCCAGGAGCTTGAAACCAGCCTGGGAGACAGTGAGACAAATGCCTAGAAGTGGCAGGTTGTTTTGGTGAATGGAAAGACATTCCCAATACTGTCACCAAATACGGTGCTGAAGATACTCCTTCCAGACAGATTTGTGTGTGCTTACACCTAGAAGAGGACCTAGGAGCATCCTAAACCATTGTGCAAATCGGATTTATGAGTTCTTGCCTCTGCCTTCTGCTCATTTATTGCTGGTGTCTCAGTGTGCATGCCGGTTTTGCCTAATAAGCGGAATCAGGAAAGCAGAAGCCTATCTTTAACAACAGAAGTGCTTAGGAGAGCCTGTAGCCAATTGGATTGAGAAGCTCTCAGGAGGCCAGAGCTGGAGAAAGGCCCCCTGAGAGATCTCGGCCCAGCCTGGTCTTTGGCAAGGGGCCGGGCCAGGCTTGAGAGATTAATCTCAATCCACCATCTGCTGTGTCACTG